GTGTATAAGTATGCTTGACGATGGATAAAATGATTACAGATTCCACACTTTCATTCAAATACGATCCGTATGTCTGAATTTTAGTTATCGTGATTAGAAAAAAATTACTATCACAATTCTCGTTGTTTTTGCTTGATTCGATGTACGAATTCCAGTTAGTACATAGTGAGGAAACTATTTAATCCTACTATAAACTAGTACACTTGTCTTACCAAGATATTGTTATCAATAATCAACACGTTTTAAATATGTAATTACAACAAGAGATAACTGAAACCATACTATGCTCCTATCCATCCCAAGCAAAATACTAAGCCACATCATCCAAAAGAGAATCAGACAAGCCAATCTGAATGCCAAACTTTGACCGAAATAGGTTGAATTCAGGAGAAACAAGTCATGGATTGATCAAATTGCCACTCTACGGATCATCGTTGAACAAAGCTTGGAATGGCAGTCAGTCACCTCTCCACCTCATTCAACTTCATCGACTTTGGAAAGGCCTTCGATAACGTCGATCGAGAGATCATTTGGAAACTACTTCGCTACTGCGGGATGCCATCGACAATTATACATCTCATCCAACAGTTGTACGACAATGCTGCATGCCAAGTAATCCACAACGGGAAACTTACGGAAGCCTTCGAATTGAGGACGGGAGTGAGGCAAGGCTGTCTACTATCGCCAATGATTTTCCTGATTGCAGTAGATTGGATAATGCGACAGACAACGGGCTGGGTAACGAGGGAACAGGCATAAAATGGACTGACACAAAAAGAGACTTGGAGAATCTGGACCTCGCTGATAACATATATATGTCTGATTTCTCACAAACTGAAGGATATGCAAGTGAAAAGCAACAAGTTGGCAGAAGAAGAATCTAGAGAAGATAGGCCTTCAGGTGAACATAGAGAAGACATAGGTAATGAAGATTTCTGGCCAACACCAACAGACAACAATCAGCGAGTATAAATGAGAGGAACCTGAAAGAAACAACCTCCTTCACCTACCTGGGAAGCATCGTTTCAACTACAGGCTAACGGAACTGACGAGGATATCAAAGCAAGAATCGGAAAAGAGGAGCATATGGGCAGACTTGGAGCGGGGTGAAAATGTTGGCAGAAAACTGAACGCAATGGAGACGCGCGGCTGGAGCCCTATGTTCCTCTAGGAATTAAAGGATATAATAATAATAATACTATGCTCGATGAATAAAGGTGGTCCTCTGGAATAACCTGAATCATAATAATTCATATGTATCTTTAGATTAATACAAAACTCTAATCTATCAATTATCACTTTCAATCATGTGTTTAACATCAATCTGTTCTATTATTTAAAATAGTTGTGGGAGGGTATTTTCCTACCTCATAACAAGGTGAAAGTATTTGAAGATACATACATAGAATTATCGATATGATCAAACGTGAAACGTCGTCTCTTTTTTCATTCTCTACTATTACAGCTCAGAGTAAGCTGTAAAATTAGCAGTCAGCTTCCTTCATTCTTGCAATTGCAAGTTGACATTTGTAAATAAAGCCGATCAAAAGGGTTACGCTAGTTAAACACATGAATATTAAATATTTTATTTAAGACTCATGATTTCTGTCTCTGTTCCTCTATCTGCTAAAATGCTTTATGGTAGTTAAAATCAAAACAAGCTCAGAGATCAATAGATCAATCACCGGTGGTTATCACTGAACTAAACAGACAAAGCTTGATCATCAGGTTAAGCACTAACTACCATCTTCATATTAACTTAAATGAAAGCTTCAGAGAATTCAGCAGATTCATACATAAATAAGAATCACACACTTTTATCCTGATGAAAGGAAAATTCTTTACTGGAAAAGTGGAAAAAAAATTGACTGATATTTCCAGCGCAAGGTTTTCTATTATTATTATTATTATTATATCCTTTAATTCCCAGAGGAACATAGGGCTTCAGCCGAGCGTCCCCATTGCCTACGATTTTCTGTCAACTTTTTCACCTTGCTGCAAGTCTGCCCACATGCTTTCATCTCCTCTTCACATGACCTCCTCCAAGTCACCCCACCCTGTCACTGATGACCAACTCGCCGCTTCCCTTTCGGGTTCTACTCGAGGGCTTGTCTGGTGATGTCAGTTAAAACTGTCGAATCTAATTATCGTGAACAAAACTATATATTTTCAAGTATTTGTAGGTTTGTAGGGATTTTGTTTAACTGGCTGGAGGATTTCATCCAGGGCTGATATATCGGTTACAGAACCATTCGAAAACCTGGGAGTACAGCATAGCTAGCTATCTGTTTTCCAATGGTTCTCCAACCGATGTAAGCTCATGATGAAATCCTCCAACCAAATAAAAGCTATACATACATATATGTATATGTGTCAATCACTTTATTCTATTTGTCAAACAGTATTGATCACCTTCACCAGCAGTACGCCAAAACTCATTTTCTGACAACAGTATGCTGCTTAATGTTTGAATAAATAAACCATAGAATTACAAAGCACATAAAATAGTAAGAGTACATCATAGATAAAGAAAAAAAAGAAAAGGAGAGAGAATATCTCACAAACAAACGTCACTCCATTAGTGTGTAGTAGACTATTTTTAGAAGTAGAATTCTAAAAAAGAATAAATCAAAGTAGATATATACATATACAACTCCACATCACTAACTTCACAACACAATAAACCTAAGATAAGACGCATAAGGTCTTCTTATTTCAGATCAAATGACGTGAACTTAACTAAAATAATATATATGTATATATAGATAAACTTGAGGTAAAACGATTTACTAAACATCAACGAAGCATTATTATTCCTCTAAAAGAATGATTTACAATGAAAATGGGTAGGTAGGTCTATAAAATAACACGAAGAAAGCTATCCTTTCACCTTATTTTTGTCTTTTCTAAGAAGGAGAGAGAGTAACGCTTGATTATAAATTTGAATATATATTGAGCATTGGGAATATTTTGAGAAAGTGGACAAATACCCACCTCATGTTACCTCCAACTGTGTCTACCAATTTACATGTACGTGCCAAAGCACATACATTGGAAGAACAGAGAGAAAGGTTAGTGTCCGCATCTATGAACACATAGCAAAGAACATGAGACTGAAAGGTCCGCAAGCATTAAACAGTGTTATTGCTCGTCATCTATTGGACACTGGTCATATTGTAGACAACCTGAAGTCGTTCAAAAATAATCAACAAGCAAAAGAAACCTAGCTTGCTAGGCTTTGCTGAAGCAATTGCCATTAAACGACTTAAACCAAATCTATGTACGCAGAAAGAGGTAGTGGTGAATCTTGCACTGCCCTGGTGATAACAAAAAAAATATACAACCTTCATTAGTCACCTTTTTCATGTTTAGAAAACTCTACTCTCTGATCTAAACATGACTCACTCTACCTTGTTTCTTTTCTTTCCTTTTTTCTATTGGCTATTAGATAAGATACTTTCTTTAGGATTTCATCATGAGCTGACATTAGTAAGAGAACCATTAGAAAACCAGGGAGTACTGGACAGCTGTTTCGTCCTAGTTTGGGACTCTTCAGCAGTACGCACCCACCGCCAAAGTTCGAACCCAGGACCTTCCGGTTACAAGGCGAGCTCGTATACCATTAGGCCACTGGGACCCGATCCAATGGTCCTTGAATTCTAACTTGTGCCAATTCACGACATAGCGCGACCGCTAGCCAATATCTTCGGCGAGTATTTGTCCTCACACCCGGAAGGTCCTGGGTTCGAATGCCGGCGGGTGCGTACTGATGAAGAGTCCAAAACCAGGACGAAACAGCTGTCCAGTACTCCCAGGTTTTCCAATGGTTCTCTAACTAATGTCAGCTCATGATGAAACCCTGTAACTAATCAAATCCCTGCAAACCAACACTTGAATACTTTCTTTAGTTACGTAATCTACTTTTTTGTTGTGCTCTTTCTAGCTAAACCTTGTTTCTATACATATATAAATATATATATATACGCAACCGTTTTTTGTTTCCAAGCCTAATTGTTTAATTATTCTATAAATAGTCAGTGTGTGTCACTTTTAATCAGTTAAATCATTCCGGATTAATGTTGCTTTTACTTCCTACCAATTACTCCTTATGATCGTGGAAAAGTATGTTCATATCTTTAATGTAATTCATATTTTTTTTTAACGTTCAGGTTGTAACCAGTTGAGAAGAATCCTCGATTAAATAATAAAAGATGAGCTCATATTATCCTGGTACAATTGTTGTTCTTGCTTTGTTCAAGTTTATTAAATAGGAAGAATTGCATGAAATTTTGAAAAACATTGAAAAACACACACGCATTGTACAAAGATGATGAACTCTATTTTTTCTTTTTAAAAATTATGTGTATGCATAAAACAGTTTACACTTACTGTGTAAAAAATAGGATTGAAAAATATTCAAAAGAAAAATTAAATAAATAAACAAATAAATAAATAAACAATTGAACAGAGTAAATAATGTGTTCAATATGAAAAAAATTTTTGGGGAAATGTACAAGTAAAATACTGACAAATATAGTTCATAACTTTCCTTCTACCTCCTCCTCCCTTGTGTTCTTATCTCAGATATAGTTAGAACTGGACAAGTTCGCGTGAACACAGCGTATCTAATGATAATAATGATAGAAATATTATTATTTTTTATAAAACACTGTAAGAACCAAGTTGTACAGTGTGAAAACGTAGATAGTGACAAAGAAACCAAAAAAATCAAATAAATAAATAAACAAACCAGTTGGAAAACAAAAAACACTACTACTACTACTAACAATGATAATAGCATATGTCAAAAATAACGACACCATCACTAACGATAACTAGAACAAAATAATGTTCATAAAAATAGATACTGTATAACACTGTACAATAAGAAATAGTATGAATGTAAATTGTGAAAGACCAAGTATAACTTGCACAGTGTGCATAGTTATGTAACCATATATATATATATATATATATATATATATATATATATATATATATATATATATATATATATATATAAATATGCAAGTATTTATCGTAAACACGGTGGAGAAATACAATGTATATGATGACGTAGCTGACGAGTTGATTGGACAGGAAGAAATGCACTGCATTCACTTGGCAGCAGTAAATGCACACGACTCTTTTTGGGTGAATATTCTTCATTATGAAAATCCCACTGAGAATTTCTAAATGTTATAAAATATGGAAAAGAAAAGAAAATACTGTTAGAATGCTCATTAACACTGTATTGTGATAGCATGACAAACAAACAAGTAGTAATCAAGTTCATGTTTGACCACGAGCTGAAGAATCTGCCAATTCGCGATGTATATAAGGCAACCGTCAGTTGATGTCATCGAAATAACTGTCTTCTTACTTGAACCTAATGGAGCTCGCTCGTCATTTCACTAGAACTTCAAGCAACTGGGAGGTTCTTAGTTAGAACTTTAGTGGCTATGTGCTGCGAAGAGTCTCAAACTGAGACGAAACATCTGTCCAATAATCACTGGTTTTCCAGTGGCTCTCTAACTGATGCCAACTCGTGGTCAAACCTGTAACCAATCAAATCCCGGCAAATCAATACTTGAAAACATGCTCAAGGTTCAGAGGATAAGTCATAAGAGAAACTAGTCTGAGTTGCATACGGTAACGGGGTTTACTCACTGATTCTAAGCGGACAAATATTTGCTTCATTGAAACAAACTAGGACGATGGATACAGTTTACTGACTGAGTTAACTAAAGTACTAGGCAGAGTCTGAAAATCAGAGATAGTTCCATCGGACTGGTGGAAGTCATTGATTATCCCGATAAACAAGAAGGGAGAGAAGTCTTCCTGTGATAATCACAGGGGGATTAGCTTGACCAATATGATATTTGAAGTTCTAGGCTCAATAATAAGTGGTGCTCAGGATAAACTAACACGAAAAAAATCAGTCGGGCTTTAGACGGAGAAGGTGTATCGATCACATCTTCACTCTGCGACAGATTTTGGGACATAAGCATATTCACTGGTACCAAACAATTACCACATTTTTTGACCTGAAAGCAGCATTCGATTCCGTTGACCGGGAGACAGTATGGCGATTTTTGAGAATGAGGAGAATGTCGAGAAAATACATTGCACTGATCAAAGCACCCTACTCAAACTCATGCAACCCGATGACAGCCTACGGAGAGCTGTCATCTCAAGTGGTTACAACCATTGGTGTCCGTCAGGGATGCCCGCTGTCTTCATTTCTGTTTAATTTTATCATAGATATACTAATGGACCTAACCCTAACTGACTCCAGCGACTCAGGGACTGACTTGTTACCAACAAGGAATAATCTCGTTCAATGAGAATATGTAGATGATATAGTCCTTCTATGTGAAGACGCTAACAAACTATAACAGAGTCTTCTGAATACCTTGAGCTGAGCAGCAATCTTCGAATGTTTAGCATGCAATTCGCTCCCATCAAATGCAAAATGATGCTAGAAGACTGGACTACCCCAACTCCTAGCTTAAAGACAGAGAGTGAAGTAGGAGAGCGTGTTGGCCACTTCACTTATTTGGGAAGTTGCATCAGCCCTAGCAGGTCGATAGTTGACGAAATTTCAGAAAGGATACAGAAGGCTCGTTTGGCGTTTTCCAACTTTCGCCATTCCTGGCATAGACGTGATGTTCGGCTGTCAGCCAAAGGAAGTGTGTACTGCTCAGCATTTCGCTTCGTCCTCCTTCATGGCTGTAAGACTATTGAGACAATTGAGATGGTTAGGATATGTGTCGCGCATGCCTAACCATTGCCTTCCTCGACTGACAGGCTGGAGAGAATCGGTAATATGACTCAAAATCTTTCTCAATGGTGCAGATGCGTCCACTCTTTGTGATTTATAATATCCAATAAAATTCTATTGATCTTTCATATTACCATCCTTTTTTGCCTCATCTCTCCTTCTCTTTTGAAATTCGCTTTACTGTCTTCTCTCGCTTTGTGTGCTACGTGGAGTGTGGCAACTTAAACTGTTGTACATCTGTGGAAATTTCCACGATGAAACCAGTCAATCAGTCAGAAAGTATGTTTCGTTCGTAATACAAATACATGTTATACGACATGGAAAAAAGGGTTGACCTGAGTTGAATATACCAAAAACATTGGAAAAAAGCACTTTCATAATGACTCATATGTTCTTAAATAAGCACTATATGTTTTCCTAATTTGATTAGAAAGTAAAAGCTACAGGTGAAGTACGTACACAATACTTCAGATAAGATTGTTCGGGCCATTTCCGTTCACACAAAATAAATGATGCAATGAATTCACTAACAAGCACGAAAAGGGAAAAAAGGGGCGATGGCTGGTGCGATTTGCACAAAGGTATAAAATGTAATGAAGTTGATGTCTTATAAAGTGAGATTCAGGTGACAACATATTACTCTATATTGAGACAGTCTGGAGTAAACCATATAGTTTTATTTGTAGATGTTAAGTCCTGGTACTTTCTACATCTAATTAAGATCAATCATCACTAGAACAGAAAGCCACAACACAATGAACAAGCCATTTCCAGTCAAAATAACACTGAAAATTCTCACCCAATTTTTTAATATCCATAAGAATATCAAACCATTAAAAATGTGAAGCATAAACGACATGCATTAGTCATTATATGAATCTGAGGCAGGATTAACGCTCATCAATTTGTTGATCACAGAAAAAAAAAGCTTAAAACACGTTTCGAAAGAGATGTTAACTACATTGTATAAAAAGACTAAGCATCAAACAACATGCGCTACTTTATTGTCACTTACCGTTTCATTGTCGATAGTGGATCGTATTCTTCAGCAGTTGGTGGAACTTTTTTAAGCTCCAAATTGTCAGCAACTTCTGTACACTGTTCAGCACCATCAGGCGCTCCACGTTTCAAGACTGTAGGACGTGCCAAATGAGGATTGTTTAGCGTAGACTGACAAAGAAGCTCTTGGTCAGGAGATTCTGAGACATTCAATCCACAAGGTAAACGTTCAACAATTAAAGGAGGAGGGGATGGTATAGGAGGAGATGAATCAATATTGAAGTCTAGCGTAGAGTTTAAACTAGGATATCGAACAGTAGTATTTGATCTGTGAGCTTCTGCATTCCGATCAGCAGCCCACTTAGGATGGCGACCTAAGTAACATAAGAAATACACAGAAAATACTCAGACTTGCTGAAACTATAGTCGAAATGATTAAAAAAAGTAAACAGTTAGCATTTAGTTTTTCTTAATCTTAACGTGATCATAATAAACAAGAAGTTTGACTTTATGTCCACTTGATATGATGCAATAAATCTTTGTGAACAATATATTACTGAATCATGAACATTAGAGTTTGAAATGATAGATAAAACGCTAAGACAACTAGGACTAACTATTTACTTGATGTCTGTATTTTTTAAGCGACATTTTATTGGTCAGCACTATACTGCTAGCATAAGCAGAAAGTTTGTATTTATCAATACATATGGTGTTAGACAAATCCACCATTACGGACAATCATGTGAAAATAGTCATTCTCTCTCTCTCTCTCTGTATATATATACATATATATCAGGACCCTGGTGAACTAGGTCAGTGAAACCTAGATCGCATGATTGTTTGAATTATGATTCACAAGCTATTTATTATTTTATGCTACATATCTCATGCTCAGCCAAAATGAATTGGTCTGAACTTGCAGATACAAACAAAGCAGGAAACATAACCCACCACATACACATAAGGCGAAGACATTTGAACTTGTATGGGAAAAATGAAATTATGACCTACTTTTGGCATGCAAGCCAACTTGTCGGCCAGATGTTTAAATAACGACAGACTGACAGGCATATGCCAGGCATAAGGACGACAAATGCTAACAGTTCACTAAAAGGTGGATAGGAGTATGGTGTGCGTAAGGTAAGCATATAGTATGTATTAAAAAAGGGTAGAACGAAAATAAACAAAATAAGGGTGGTGGGGAGGGAGAGAGAATTAAGAGAGATTTATTTATTATTTTATTAGTCAGCCAAACACGTTTAGGCTGGTCTGGTTATGAATCATAAAAGGTCACAGGAATACTGCCCTTAATCGGACAAAGAAGGACAAATATGAATGCCAAATACTATCGCCTAAAACCCATTTGTATACGAGATGAAAAGAAAAAAGAAGATTAATATCTAATTCACAGACAAAGGTTGTTATTTCTGTGTAATATACGGTTTAACCACAAAACCACACGTACACATACAAGGACAGTAATTATTAATTACTTATAATACAGGAAAGAAAACTAAAGATTATACGCTTCGAGATATTGATGATGAAATTTGGCGATTAGGTGTAAAAATAACAAGAATATGAATACTAACAGTGTAAAGCAAAGTTTTATTTACTCTGAAATGCACTGTCTAATATTCTTACGAAATTAAATAACATGATGAGTGCCTGGCTTATGCTTCCTACTGACAATGTTCCTAACAAAAAGGTATTTTCACACCTTGCAACCATTTTCTGTAAGAAAATCAGAAGTGGTTGCTACAAAGATTTTATGTTGCAATGAGCCAGCCAAGTAAAAGTTTTACGGCACTAACTGTCTGCCAAGAGACAAAAAAAGTAAAATTAAATTAGAACTAGAAACCGTCAGCTGAAATCCAAGTCTATAAGCCAATAATCCACACACCTACACTGATTTTGCTAAATATACAACAACTAGAAAGCATTGACCAACCAAGGTAACTCATTTTAGACTAGAAATGATCGGTATGACAATAAATTACAGAACACAAACACTGTGGTGGTGGTGGTATGTAATTCTATGTTAGTCAAGTTACATAACTTGCCATGCAATAAAACAGTGCTATTTTTACTGGGAGAGATTGGAATACAATTTATCATCATTAGTGATATTAATAAAATGAATTAAATTTACTTTTAAATGATTAATGTCAGAAGTGTAATCCAGAAAATTACATTTATAAAAAACCAAACCTTACTAAAAATAGAGAAGACTCTTGAAGGCAAGGGAGAACTTTTTATTTGTGGCGGTGTACGTGAAAACATTAATAGGGAATAGTGCCGCTTTACTTGCAACATAAACAACATATGCTAAATATAATTTTATGCCTTTGATACTAGAAGCTGAGTAAATTAACTTTTATCTGACACTCAGGAAAAGTAAACATTTTATCAAGATAGTAAGACCAATACGAATTAGAAGTACACTGGTACTGGAATTTGCATTTAAATCGAGAACTTATTAAAGGAAAACTTATTATGGGAAAAAAAGCACTTTTCTTATTGACTTACGCGTAAAGATCCCTCCATTCGGTAAAATATTAGTTATAGGAGCCAAGGGTTTCAAAGTGATTTCATCTGAATAAGATGTCATTGTTTCCGAAATCAAATTTGACTCATCATCATTATTCTCAAGGGGAGATGGTAATGAATAAGAACGATTCATCAGTGTTAAATCGACATCAATGGAAGCGGGGATAGAAGATGGAGGTAGTGGTAAGTCATGAGGCCAGCAAATATTTTCTTGACTAACGTCTACTTCGACCTGCGAGATGTTTGACCGCAGAGGTGATGAAGAAGGATAACACGGTACAGGTTTAAACAGCTTTTCGCACGCAACTTCCTGATGATCATCTCCACTACTGCTACTGCTTTTATACAATTCAGAACAACAGTATTCATTTTCCAAGCAGTTTTTAGTAGTAGGTAATGGAAGTATAGGAAAAGGAGCTGTCGGTCGGCAGTGACGATACCAAGGAGATGACAAGACGGTTTTAGTGGGACTTGAATTTCTGACACTTGATTTTCTTTGAATACTGGAAACAGAGCTGTCGTCTGACGATTCTAATATGACAGGGTAATAAGCCGTCTGGGATTTATTGCAGCTGTGCAAGATATTTTTAGGATCCTAGAAGACAAAGCAACAAACCAAATGGTGTTATAAGTGAAAGAAATTTATAAGCCTTGAAGAAAACATTTATAAGACAGTAATTACTATCAGAAATACACTTAGGATGAAAATCAAAAAACTGTTGTGAAATGTTCAGTTTAGAAGATACTACTTGTAGCAATTTCATTCTCCCCATGAGAAATACAACTCAGGGAAAACGTAGAGTTTAACGTAGTTAACCATACATGTTGTACGCGAATTAATGACACTTCGAAACACTGACAAATCAGAATGGAGAATGGAATTACAGCACCTTGCCAACCGGTTGAAGGCAAGTTAATCAGCTACAGTTAAACTGGAAGTGAACAAATTCATCTAATGCAACGAAGCTGTGACCCATTGATTCGGGCTATTGAGTTCCAATGAGTAGCAGGTTCAAACAAAACTGCAACTCAAGAAATTTCAGAGACCTGTTAGTATCTCTAGGTTTGATAAAATAGGTATGGCTCACTGACTCTATGCAAATACAAAAGGTTGTGAGAATATTTTCTTTTTGTGTTAAGTGCTAAGCTATGTTTTTCCAAGTTGGTCCAAATGAAAATTCTTAAATGAACAGTAGGCTCAACTCAATAACTGAGTGGTCGAAAACAAAATAATTTTCTAGTCTTTGGTCTGTAAGACAGTATAAGGTCTGGAACTGACTACTACATAATGGGCAGTTAAGCTTCCAGTGGTAGACTACGAGACGAATATGACTGATAAAAGCTTAACTTTAACAATGGACAATCAGAAAGTGTCACTACAACCCTCCAACCAGCAAAACGCTAAAGAATACTTATTTCTGGCTTCACTACAGCCTGACAGTTTTCAATAGTATGCGACTACGACTGTCACTTAGATGGAAAATACACACACCTATCTTTTGGAAAGTTATTATTAAATTCTGTTACTAAAAATAAAATGCAGCGTGATACTATTAAGATAAGGGTAACTGTGGAATATTAAGTATGGTAGCATTATTTTATTCTATGGCGGTAGTGAATGTTCTGTCTAGGAACATATCGGTGGACATAAAAAGTCCAACAATGACGTAAGAGTTTAGGATAAACAAAAAATATTAACGTTAAACTTAAGATTGGACAAACCTGTATGAGGAGATTTTCAACCCGATTCGCCAGCTGACTGATACGCCCAGATTTACTATTTGAAACCTCACTAGCCGACAATGTACAGCTACGACTAGAATGAACTCCACGATGCTTTGATATTGAATGTCGTGCTTCATTGTTAGAGCAGCTTGTTAGGCTATTATGGGAATGACGGGTAGAGTGCACTTTTGATTTCTGAGGAACAGGACGATAGTACAACGAAAAAATGTCCTTTTGAGACATCTGAAATGAAGAAATTATGTAGTGTAAGATTCGTACAGTTTGGAAAATTACGTGGAAAATTGAAGGAGAGATTTATGCATAATTGAAACGCCGTGACAAAATTGGAGTGAATCAAATCAAAATTTGTTATTTATAAAGTTCGAGGTCGAATTTCACCATAGTTTTCTTTGGAAACAGAAACGATACAAATCGAAATATGTAACTTGCCCAATACCATAAATGGCAATCAATAAGACTAATATAACTGTGTGAAACTATTGGAGTAATATCGGTAGTTTTATAAACAATTCACAAATATAGTGCCAGTGTGTTTGCGTTGGTGGTAAAGGAAAAAACATCTTGAGGCTAAAAAAAATTGTGCCTTTGTCTAAGTCAACAGTATGAAGATGGTTACGTGAATGAAGCCACTCGAATTCCTGCTTAGCAAAAAGCAGTGCCTATGGTTTTGAAACAATAATGATCGAAAACACAAAAATCACCTTAGGTATAAGGGTATATATATATATATATATATATATATATATATATATACCTTTATAGGGTGCAGCTGGTCGGGTGTGAGGACAAATACTCGCCGAAGACATTGGCTAGGGGTCGCGCTATGTCGTGAATTGGCACAAGTTAGAATTCATGAACTGGCCATTGGATCGGGTCCCAGTGGCTGAGTGGCATACGAGCTTGCCTTGTAACCAGAAGGTCCTGGGTTCGAACCCTGGCGGTGGGTGGGTACTGATGAAGAGTCCAAAACTAGGACGAAACAGCTGTCCAGTACTCCCTGGTTTTCCAATGGTTCTCTAACTGATGTCAGCTCATGATGAAATCCTGTAAACCAATCAAATCCCTACAAACCAACACTTGAAAAAAAAAATATGTATATATATGTATATATACAGGCTCTTTCAAATAACTCATGGATTACGCAACTGCATGAAACATTAGACATAGTCAGGCTCATAATCATATCACGGTAAATAACTCCTTTTCTCAGTGAATATGACCAACAGAATTCAAGTCGACAATTTTTAAGTGTTTATGACACTTTCCGGAGTAAACGAAATCGTCAATTGGATAAGTACAATTTACAAACAAAAATTTTAACTCACTAGGTCCGACACAACAGATCGTGTCTCCGTCCCAGAAACCAATGACCCAGTGAGCTGTGTCCGACAACTGGTGCTATAATTGGAGGAGCACGATTCGTTTGCCTCAACTAGTAGTTTACCTTCAGTATTTGATGAGCCTAATTGCAAAAATAAAAAATATAGGATTTCTGCGTTAAATAAAAAGAACAGAAATGTCGTATTACTTATGACGTTGAATATAATCACGTACTTAGAGTGTTATTCATAGTACTGTCTCACCGGCAGGTGTCAATGGAATTTTCAGTTTTACATATATATATATATATATGCTGACGGGGAGAACTGAATTAAAAAATGCCTAAATGAGTGTGACTAATTCTGAGACAACTGAGATGGAGAAATTCATGAGCAGATTGTTAAGACTGATTTAAAAAGATTGCTAATGCTTCAAAAGCTAGAACCTGTTGAGTATCTAATTTCTAAAGCATACCACTGAAATAATCTTTACTGAAGTGACAAAGTAGTTTGTAAAGACACCAGCACAACACTGAGTTCTTTGAATACAGTGATAATTGTTCTTACTTGTACTGCTATGATGGAAACCGATTACTAAATTGCTTTTTTTAATTATAAAACTCGCGAAGACAGAAAAATGAAGGAAAGTGAGTAGAAAAATCAGACATGGATAAATACACGACAATGTATTGGTATTAGTCGACATTATCTAGACCAGAGCAAAAGTAATAGGTGGAGGGATGTCAGTGATAAAGATTAAACACTCTTGAGTTACTGTGAATGACTTCAGTTCAGACCACTGAAGGCCATGGATTCCACAAATACTCAGGTGAAACAGATACTACGAAGAAATCTATTTTTCGAGACAGCAAAACTAATAAAGGGCTTTAGAAATTCAAATCAATGTTAGTTGTAGTCCCCCTTGGAAACACATGCAAGGAAAGGTCGGGTGCAAGCACTACTGAGGTTTCAAGCTCACAATAAATTATTAAATAACAAAACTTTGAAATGCTATGCAGAAAATTAAGAGCAGCAATCCACATACTTTTATAAATAGGGTTTCTGTGATTAAAATAATATTAATTGCTGGTTGAAAGCACTGCCATCAGCCATTACATGCAAAAGGGAAGTTATATTTGAGTTAACTATCAATCTAGATATTTAAATATGTTTACTTGAAACTAGATTACACATACCACTAATATGATTTGCATGGCGCTTGAAATACATCAAATTACAGTAGCACCAAACACTTACATAAGGCTTTTCGTAATCGTGTGTGAAGCCAAAGCTGTTGGTTCAAATTCACTTATCCTCTAGGTCGTTATGGGTCAAACTTATGATGTACTGACTGATTTTACTACTCAGTTGCCCAGACTAAGGACAAACCTGAGACCCATTGACTACAAGTCGAGTGTTTAAATAAATGATTGGCATCTCCATAAAACCAAGGCTGATACCAAACAACCAATGAGACCAGAAATTTCTGGTATCTCTGTTTTCACTCACGCAAAAATAAATGTGAGTATTAACAAGCATATCATATAAGTTATAGGTTTCAATAAACTGTTTCAACTGCAAAGTGACAAGAAAATATGAACACGTAATGATTTCCTAGGGGTGGATGGGTGCTAGGTATTGTTTACTTAATAATAATGCATGTGAAGGTCAGTATTATTTACAGAAATATTTCAAATAAATAATCTCACAGTTAGTTTAAGAGCATTCCACCATGTTATACAAGAATAAGAGTAAAAACACAGAAATTAAGACATGTGCTCAATCCATATTTGACTTTTCCTGACCAACCGTATTCATTTAAAATATTCTGAATGAGTGACTAAATTTACACGATACTGAAACGGTTGACTTGTGGACGCCAAAAAATATCAAATTATACGTTCATTGTAAAATAGTAAAAGTAATGAATTCACTGCACATCATGGCTGTTAATTAAGAGTGAATAAAGACAGCACCCGGTTCAGCGCACAGTACGGACGAAACAGCTTCTCTTCCTAGCTTCTTGCTTTCCGCTATTGCCAATCATCTCTGGATTGTACCTGGTCCGTATATATACATTCGGATCCTTTGCTTCAATCTCCTTTATCTCTTCGCAAGTACCTTTGGGTTGTTGGTATACTCTTACGAACAACTACATACCAAAATAGGACTACTCCAACACTACATCTCTGTACGTCTTTACTTGTGTATATTAGGACAATTCTAACTCACCGAGTAACTGTATTTTATGTACATTACTATGTGTGGACTGAATTCCTCTCAACATACATACATGTTTGTATTTGTTTTGTACTTTTTATTCATGTATAAACGATCTTTCAGTTCACAACAGACTGTATTTCAAATTAACAGTAATTCCTTTTAACTTTTGCAATTAGTACTAGAGGAACGCAAGGAAAGCTAGGCAATGGACACTATGAAATATCCCGCAAACATAGCACCTTTATTCTCAATAAAAAACAGTGTTATCATCAAGCTCCCTCGTCTTTATAATTAGGAGAAAATAAAGCCAGCTATGTGGAAAATGGAAGAAATCTCGGACAGAGTATTGATGGATAACAGGCAAGGACACGAAAAATTTTCATCTTCGAAATGTATCTAACCGCTGCAGCGAATTACTTTACATGTCATCATTTAATATTTATCAGAGCACACTAGGTCCATCGTCTTAAGATTGTAATTTTTAAGATGAGAATCCTTTTAGTGGTGAACTACAAAAGGCAACATCACTTGCAGTTGATCTGTACTTGAAAAGGCCTATTTACATCACGTACTAGTTAACGTTAAATTAATCCAAACACAGTGATATTGTGTTATGGTAGGGTTGGGATCTATTGCATAGATTCTTACTAGAGGTATACAACGACTGCAGCTTTCATCACCGATTGAACCCATGTGCCACAAGTGAATGCAACAAAGATGCACACAGAGGCGTTAAATAGCATTATTACGAAAATTGCCACTAAAATATCTATGTACATATGTGAATATATATACCGTACAAACGCACGACAATACACGCTGAAACCAAGTCAAGTGACTTGAAATACACACTGGTGGCACTTACGTTTCGATCCTTTTGGAAGTTCTGACAATGCAATGCGATTATGCCGACGTACTTTTCTTGATCCAAGAGATGCCATCGCAGCTCGTTAACAAGAAGTAACTTTGAATACCGCGCAGTCTGTAACCCTCTTAGGGCTTGCTATTAAAAATTGAAAGAAATGATTATTTATAACAAACAAAATAACTGTAGTTTGTAAAGGACATTTTCAAGCTTTCGAAAATCTTCCATTTGTAAATGGTCCTCAAATTTAGCCACGAATGGCAAATACATTATAGCCAACTATCACAGGCTAACGGAAAGTGAAATGATAAATCTATTCAAATATGTGTTATACATTGTCAGCTTTTTAAACTCTATCTTGAGATGGAGTCATATTACTCACCACATACAATAGCTCTGAATATTAGGAAATACAATGATTACTCTTTGCTCTCAATAAGTCATCATACGTCGGTGGAACAGTTGTTAGGACTCTCGCCGACCATGCACATGTTCCGAGGTTCGACACCCTGCCGACGAATACCTTGTATCTATATTCGGCCTGCAGAATTTGGTCTACCGATATGCATGCTGAAAATTCCATAGTTGTTCCAAAAATACAGTGTGGAATCAATCTGTAATCCAAAAAATATAGGGATTAAAATTGAAAGTGCCATTTGATGTAGTGCAATGTTTAAAAATTCACATTTTCTCAGCTTGAGCTGTATATAACTAGCTTCAAGGAAAGCCGTGTCATGTGATTTACCGATAGAATCCTCAAAACAGCAAAAGCTCGGAGCTAACATATATTGCGTGTAGTCCAAGTAACTTAAAAAAGAGAAAAATGTTCAGTTCAACTTGGAAACGAAATTACAGCTGTTGAACATGAGAAATGTGAGCCTCATGTGTGAACATCATACGTCAAATTTCTCCTTAGTAGAAAAAGCCCCCACCAGCACAAAACGGAATGGACAAGGGCCAATCAAATTTAATGGTTTACTCCTCAGGTACGAGCGGCTCTGAAGCTATGACGGATACTCTTTCATATTAAAAGATTCGAGATAGGCAGTAAGCCGAGCCTTGAAAACATGGTATTATTCCTGATGATACTACCGCTTTTAGGCTAAACTCCATTAATTGCGTGATAAGTAGGCAGAAGCTTTACTTTATAATTTTGAAAACAAGTTAGTGGGCGTTCATAGCGAAAAGTGTCATACAAAGGTACAGACATTGCTCTTTACTGAGTGAGTGGTTGATTAAATGACTTCTAACTACGTTACCGAATACCACCTTGTCCCTGACTGAAATAAAATGTCTTCGTAGAAAAATCAAGTTATATATTTTTTAAAATTACCATCATTTTATCGAGTGACTTCTTTGGCCTATGGAGGCTGCGGTCAGTCTAAATTAATTTCGATGATCGAGTGTTTGAAGTGATGAAGTGGTTATCACTGTTCGTTGTGAAACGGAAAATAATATTGGTAAAAATGATACCAGTAAGGAATTCCACTTACGATAGTCAATAGTTATTCACATCAGGAGTTTAATCAGAAAACTTATGTTTGGATAAAGTTTTTCTTCGACTATAATCTCAACTTGACAGTTTTGACCAAAAAGATTTCATTATCACATGGCGTTTATGTGCTGGGGAATTAGTGAGTTTCCTCTACTTTCGAAATGTTATGAGTTTTAAGACCAACCAAACCAAGTGTATACTAGCCTGTCGAATTCCCATAAATATCAACAAGTAACAGTAATGAGATAAATAAATAAAGGGATCAGGATATCTTTTGTGTATCATTAAACTATGAAAAGTGGAGAAATGTCGCGTCAGTGTAATACGTGTACGTTATTCTTTATCACCTCGCCTAGTTTGCCAGCTGTCTAACTTTCTAGCCAATCCCAAGTCCGGTAAAAGAGGGAGAGTTGGGCGTGGTGCTAGCGACCCGACCCCAAAACACTGATCAAACTGCCACAAAATATTCAATACCCAAAAAATAATAAAAATACAATGGAACAAAAAAATAAGCTTGTTATTCGCTGGAATCGGGGAGGCGAAATGACATGGTTGGTGGAAGCTACCTTCAGGAACTCAGTAAACCAATATGTCTTCTTTCAATGAAAGCAAGAAGAAGGATGGAGACATGGATCATTCGTGGAATGTTTGAAGCTGCGAAGGCTGTTCAGATAGCCAAAATAACGAGATGTGTCATAGAAGTGTTCAGAATGTGAGGTGTGTTATGTGTCCACATATATATGTGTGTGTATGGTGATCTCTCTTTTTGTTGCTCGCTTAGCCTGTGACCATTTCATTTTGATGAACCTGTCTCCTTTAACAATGTATATTCCCCTTATATTATATATAATATAATATGAGTGTTGACAGTCCGTTGCTTGGTGAAATATATCCATATATGGTGGTTGTTGACATGTCTGCTATATTTTGCTATGTATATATGGATCGATACTTCATTATAATTAGCCATTCATGTAAAGACTGTCTATTGATTTGTTCACACCCTTGTCTGGACATTCATATATATTTCGCTCTCACAATTTGTGTGATTTACTTTGTGATACCACTTATTGCTTCTCCTTGTGTTTGGAAAATAGAAGTATCACCGCAAACCCAGTGGTCTTCTGATTTCCGCCTTCTTGCGTCAGGAATATTTAATTCTCGACCAGTACATAGCAATAATTTGGTGACGAGTACATAAAAAGGGGCGCATGGGATGTCTCTTGACTCTTCAAGTTGTCAGCGGGAGAGCCAGTAGTTTGCTCCGGCCACCCAGACGACATGGAGGAAGTGAGCGGCTATCATGTTGTCACCAGTGGCAGCGAAAGCTTCAATGCAGTGAGAGCCAATCTCTTCCAGGATTACATCAATATTGAGATCAAAAGGAGTGAAGGAATGTTACGGCCTTCCAATGCTGCGCACACTGCTGCGAACGACTTGGAACAAGAGAAGCAAGAAGTTTCTCTACATGACTATAAACAGTGATGGACAATATCCCAAATGGTGACACCGAAATCACCATAGGCGTTATGAACGACGAACTGGAAGCAGGCAATACAGAAACAGAACTAATCAAGAGTCGAGAAGGACTCATGAATGAATGAGAAATGAGAATTATACTCAGATTCCTGAACTCCCAATGATTTGATGATTGGGGGTAGTAGGTCTTAACCGCAAGAATACGCACAAAGAAACATGGATTTCGCCTGATAGATACACTAGAAGAAGTTCGACGCTGCCTGCCGAACACAAGGAGACCAGATAGGGGCTCAGACCATCGTTTAGTCTCAGGAATCTTCAAGATGAAGCTGAAATTCCCAAAAACAACTGGAGACAGATTACAATTCAAATTCAACATTAAGGAAATAAAGGACAAGGCTACAGAGGATACCTTCAATACAGATCAGATGAGAGCAAAGTGGAAGACACTGCGCAGTATCACTGAAGTAACCTCTTTGGAGGAGTATTGGAAATAACTCTCTGTAGGTGATGTTGAAGGAAACGTGTACAACGGTTCTAGGATGAAAAAAGAGACATACAAGGAATGGCTGTCAAAGGATACATGGAAAATAATCGAGGAGAAAAGAGGAGGTTGGTGAAAGCGAATATGGCTCACTGCATATATGGTCAGCAAAAGGAGAAGCTGGGTTCAATGTGCACTGCACTGAATAAATAAGTGAGGGAGGGTGTTAGGAGCGTCATAAGACAATTTTAAAAACCCGATGGCCAGCAACTGAAGCAGAACAGGCAGGCTGCAGGCAAAGGAGACCTCAGAACACTCCAATATTTAACCAGGTCTCTGCCGGGGAAGAGATCAACACAGATGATGAAACTAATAAAAAGTGGTCAAGGGAACCTGATTACTAACGAGAAGATACAGATAAAACAGTGGGCTGATCACTTCAAATGACTCCTGAACCTGCCATCACCTACAACTCGTCTAATAATATCGCCAACTGTGAGCATAGAACTACCTGCCAGTGGACACAAATCCTTCAACAAAAGCAGAGGTCTTGAATGCATTGAAGCTACTGAACTCCGGAAGGGAGGCTACGAGGACAAAACGAAATTTCCACTGGAACTCTGAGAATGCACCCGAGTACTGCGGGAGATATGTTGATGCCATTATTGGGAAACGTTTGAAGGGAAGGAAATGTGTCTACTCATCGGAAGAAAGGTTACCTTGTCGGGCAGCCAGAGAAGGGTGACTAAGACCTGTACAAGATCTGGTGTGGAATAAAGCTATTGTCCACGCCAAGTAAAATGCTGAGTCGCTTCGTTGTGAAGAGATTAAATGATGCACTAGATGCGGGAAGGTCATATCACGCGTGGTACTTTCAACGCATGCGTTGCATTTTAGCGTGATTCGTTATATAAAATCTACTTTCCTTGTGAAAATCGAACGAGGGTTTCTCCAACTCCGCACCAGTACCCATTAACTCTTTCGCTAATCAGTTATATTTGATCATACAAAAAGCCACGAAGTCAGTCACCTGTTAATCTGATGATTGCTAGTACATATCCGCTTGCTACAACAAGATCACACCTACCAAAAATGTGACTGTGAGACACACAGCTCAACAACACGCGGCACTCGTCTAGCTGCCACACCACTACCATTTACTGTGGCTGAAACTGACAGTAAAAATGTGCTGACAACTGGCACTAATAATAATATTGTATACACGTAAATTTAGCATTTACATGATCGACATACCGTTTGTATTAGTAGCAACGCTTTGGCAAACTCAGCACTTAGTCCTGATATGGACCTTTTCACTACACCTCATATACGTTTCAACAAACTTCAGACACCAGGTCAACACCTACTTCAGAAATAAAACAACTTAAGCTGTCTGTGGGAGAGATAAAGACCGAGGTGCGGGAAAAAGGAGCAGTGAGGCTATAAATACAGGAGGTTCAGAAAATCTGACCAGCATATCTGAACTATCAGTACGGATTAGTGACAAAATCGCAGGTCTGTAAACTTTCACCTTTGAGCATTCTGACCAGAGCAATAAACCCTGGAGAACGTGACGCGGAATGGGCAGCCAAGGTAGACAACCTGAATAACTTCATCACAACAGAGGTTATCAAAAGAATAGGTACAAATCTAAGTGCGAGAGTCAACAATATACCAAATAATGAAGGGTTAAAAAAGGTTCAGTGCTTCTCATTTAGGGCGACGAAAATGCCCAACTCTCAAAATGAGTGCCACAGAGTGA